GCAACTGACACAAACCCTTACCGGTTTGATATCTCTGTGAAGAAATCCTATCGAGTGTATTTCCCTAATTGCGTTCAGAATTTGTACACCCAGACGAATGGCGGTGCTCAGGCTGAAGCACTGTTTTGGCGCCTGAAACATGAAAATTTTCTAGTATCTCGAGACGGGCCACTCGACCGCAGTTGTGCTGCCACGACCAGGGCACATCATTGGTTGGGGATTTTGGTCGAGTCCTACTACCCCTCCCTTCTTTTGAGGGTCGTTACGACCCCCCTTGTTCCCTCCTCATCGAGCTGTCGAACGGAGGAGCGTATACACATGAAACAGGAAAACTACGAAAGGTCAGTCAGCAACCTTTCTCAGAAGGTCAGAAGAGAAATAGGACTCCCGCCCCTCCCAACAAAAACCAGCCATCAAAAAATTTTTTTCTCACTGCTCAAATACGACCCCCCTCTCGCAGCCACCAATTACGACCCCCTGATGGAGAGTCCTTAACAACGATGTGCCCTGGCCACGACTGCCTGACAGGATAGTTACAGGATGAGATCCAGAACTGAAGGCGTGTGCCCACAATGACCACCAATCTGTTCACCACCCAGAAAGGCAAGTTTTAGTGGTTTAAAGCACCTGAACAGGAACACACCTCTCGTCTGAGATCGGCAAGATTTTTCCCTTGAAGACTCATTACCAAATAATTAAACTTGTCGTTCCGTCCGCACCCGTAGAATTTACACGCATGTTTTTTGCCTAAAAATAAAGTGATATTCAAGACATGGTCATGTTTTCATAACGAACTCCATGGGGGATCGTCTTCGGGACATCACTCGTCGGCAATGTGGACGACGAGAGCGGACATGTAACGCGATTAGGCTGGGGATGAGCTCGCGACCTAGTCAAAATCGAATTCGTCATGTTCGACTCCATTCGGCTGGACGCGCTTCGCCGAATTTTGATTTTTGAGGATTCTATTTGAACAGGGCCAGTGAGGAAGCCACTGGTCCCATCGCTTGAATGCTTACTCGAAGGTCACAAAGGGCAGAATTTACTCGGCGGAAGAAACATTCACGGAAAGGAGACAGACTGTATTCCGAGAAGCAATCTTTGAATGATTGAAGTGAGTAGGAGGTCAGAATGGGGGCGAGATTGGAATAGGACTCACCCTGAAGTCGTCGAAGTACTGCCACTTCCATTTTCAATACCTGCTTTGCAGCTTTGCTAGATTCAACCTTAATGAAAAGGATGAGTCGGCAAAAATGGTCCGAACAAAGAGAGTATTTCCTTCCTGCGGCTCACCTTTACAGCTACCCGTTCGTTGTGATTTTGAGTATCGATGGCTTCGTAGATCTCGCCAAAGCCACCGCCGCCTATTTTTTGCTTCTGAAAGCAAGTTAAATTCTTTCACAGTAGCTCATAAAGTACTCTTAAAAGCCCAGTGTCATAAATCAGCGGCCATAATGAGTCGCTAACACATACTTAGCCTTTAATGACCCACTGCATTTCCGGAAATGGCAGTACGGTACCATCAAAAATGGGATTCCCAGAAAACTAAAGAAAACCTACTATTTTCCATCGTTCTCGAATCACCTGCGAGACTTGCAGTATCTCGCCCTCACTCGACGACGTCATTATCGTTGCATCCCTGCAGAAAACATAATTGAATTACCGTCTCACTAGTCCACTCTTAACTATTCTGCACGAAAAATGAACGAACAAAGAAAGTTCAGTAGAAATACAACCTTCTTTGCAATAGTGTTGAGCCATGTCGAAATTGAGTGAGGAACAGCGATAAATGGGAAAATCCAAAGGGCATCGAGGTGGCCGGCTGGCACACAGCGATCTCGACCAGAATGGTGTGGTGGGCGCCTCGGAGAGTGAAAACATGCAACCCCGGCAACCACCACCCCTTTCCCCACGGGAATTCTCGACATATAGTCACCAAATCAATGAATCAGCAACTAAATGTTTGTCCTCTGACTTTTTCCTCAGGGAATACTGTCGAGGCAACCGAGGTGGACATAGTGTTCCTTTGATTTGTTGTTGTCACATGCAAAGTGCGTTTTCAACTTCCGCATACCCATTCTGTCCTCTGGCTCACACTTTCAAGGCGAAATGCTCCCCTTTCATGCAAATATACGGAAATATGGAGCAGTTCGGCGACGGGGGGCATTCTGCACTTTTGCTACTTCCCATCGACGTGTCGACCCATCTAGACAGCCTCTTCTCGAGTTGACAGGTTTTACCATGATGGC